CTGGCTGTATCGGAATAAACCAGTGAAAATAATAATTCAACCAAATCAACAAAAATGAATTTGATTGGACAATGAGTATTATATAAAACCATGTTTCAGCATTCTGTATTTTTGTACTTTTAAAAATTCAAAATTTAAAACGGATTTTTAAAAAAGGAATTCTGCAATTTTCAAAACTTTTGAAAATTTTCAGAACTGAAGAAATAAAACTAAAATCCATTCAGTAAAGTTTAATTGTCAAAACTTACTTTCTGTACAGGAAAGAACATATTGTTGGAAGATCCATTACTTTTATAATAATTGTCTTTCAGATTTGAATTTTATTGCGTGTAATTAGAAAATGGTAACTCATTAAAAACTATTTTATTTTATCTTGCAAACAAATATTTTGCGTGTACGTGAATCCAATAAACGTGGAAACGACTGAACCGGTTGAAGTTAAAAAAAAGTGTTGTCTGAAATGAAATGTCAATCTTTTAGAAATTTTTAAACCTATAATTCTAAAGTGGTATTAGTAGTACAGTACTAGTAGTATTAGTAGTTGTACCAGTAGTACTATTAGTACTATAGTAGATGATGAAGTAGTAGTAATTAGTAGTATTAGTAGAATTATAGTAGTATTAATAGTGTTAGTAGTATTAGTAGCATTAGTAGTACTTTAGTAGTAGTAGTAGTAGTATTAGTAGTATTATACTAGTAGCACTATAGTAGTAGTAGTAGTAGTAGTAGTAGTATTTTAGTATTAGTAGTATCAGTAGTACTAGTAATATTTTTATTATTAGTAGTGATAGTACTATTAGTAGTATTAATAGTAGTACTAGTAGTATTAGTAGTATTAATTAGTAGCATTAGTAGTTATAGTACGTATAGTAGTAAAAGTAGTATTAGATATAGGAATAGTAGTACTTGTAGTTGTAGTATTAGTAGTTCTAGTAGTACTAGTGGTATTTGTAAAATTTGTAGTATTAGAAAAATTATAAAGTTAAATATATTTGGTGTATTTTCAGTATTTTCAACGTGTTCAATGTGTTCAACATGTTCAACGTGTATACGCAAAAATCTATCAGCATTTTGCTAATCAGATCTTTTACACAAAAACTTAAGAAATAAGTTGAAGTATTGTAATGTACATGTCTAGGACCACAAAAACAAAACAACAAGTTAGATTAAGTAAAACAAAACGTCCGAGGTGTTTCCGCGAAAATTCAAAATCTTCCCGATCTAGGAAAAAGATGAAAGTCTTTGCCAAAACAATATAATTTTCTAATCCCTATATCTTTGCAACCCAAAGTTGTGAACCTAAAATATTTCAAGCTATACAAAAATCTTTACTTGAAATATCAATGGTTTACACATCCATGTTGCAAAGATGGCGGTTAGAAAATTTGATAATTTTCAGAACTGTTTGTAGTTCTGTGTAATGCAAGGTATAAAACTCATGATACAACTCAAACATTGTAATAATGATCTTTTAACTTGATGAATTTACTATTTTCTTGACAAATTACAATTTGAAAATGAACCAATTTTGAAGTAATTATATTCCGCGAAAAAGGAATTGAGTTTTACAACAAAATTACATTTTCTAACCCCAATATCTTTGCAACCTGATGGTATAAACCTTTGATATTTCAAACTTAGACTATTTGATCTATCAGAATCAGTAGTTTGAAATATCAAAGGTCTAGTAAAACGGGTTGCAAAGTTATAGGAATTAGAAAATCTGAGTTTGTGGCAAAAACTCAATTTCTTTGCAGAAAAAATATTTAATTTTTAAGTTTTAGGTTTTGGATCATAGACAATAATGGTTTTAAGTATAAGATCCATAAAGGTGTGGAAGACTACATATAAGTAATTTTCTGTTTTTGATTTTATTATCTAGTAGCTTGAAAATCAACTGATGGTCTGCATATATTTTTTTATCATTATTAGACTATTTGACATCAGCCGTCTTCCTTTTGCACAATTTATTACATAGATAAATAGATGTATTTATCTATGATTTATTAGGACTTTTAAACTCGATTTTGTTGTACATGTTCTGGATTTGTATCTATTTCAGTACTGATGAATTTAAAATTTATATTTCCTCTTTTATTTGTACGCTGTAGTCCTAAATCCAGTTCTCATGTGAGCAGAAACTTCTTAAACTGAAAACTAAATTAATCTATAACTCGACTAATATAACTTATAACTCCCTCTTTGCATAATTTTAACCACAAGAAAGAAGACTATTTTTACTTTCCAAAAAGAATGGTCGATGAAACAAATAGTATTGTCTGCGTAAATATGTAAAGTATAGGGTAGAGTTATTTATTATTATCTATTTCTCTCTTTGATGGATTCGAAATTTAAAATGTACATTCTTAAAAGGAGTGTTCGCGAAAAATGAATGGGGGTAATCGCTTTTGATCAGTACTATTCTTACTTCTATTTGTTACGTCTATAAGGAGAAAATTGTTAAAAACTACTTATACTGAAGAACAAGTGTCCATACAAATTCAGAAAGTTGCAATATACGACTCGAATCGTAAAAAATCAATTTAATTTCATACAAATCATTCAGATAGTCATCGATTATTTTTCCACGCATTCGTAACTAGTTCATATTTCATAATATGATTTATTCGTTTTGTCTCTCGGTGCTTTGAATGATTAAATGTTGCCAAAAAAAAAATTGTTTTAATTGCATTGTATATAAAACAAATAACAAATATTATGAAATATCAACTATTTGCGAATGCGTTGAAAAATAATCGATGGCTTTAGGTTGTAATATCTACATTATTTGTTTGAAGTTAAATTAATTATTTTACGATACAAGTCGTATAATTTAACTTTCAGAATTTGTATGGACGCTACGTTCTTCAGTATAAGTCGTTTTTTAACCATTTTCTCCTTAAAGACCCGACAGACAGAAGTAAAATTAGTAGCGATCAAAAGCGATTATTTTCGCCGTAAGCCTATACCCCCTTTCGTTTTTCGCAAACACTCCCTTTCAGAAAGTGTGTAGTAAATTTATGTTTTACTTGTGTAGAGTATAGTCCTGGTAAAGGTATATTGGGTAGAGTAAAGTCCTGGTAAAGGTATATTGTGTATAGTATAGTCCTGGTAAAGGTATATTGTGTATAGTAAAGTCCTGGTAAAGGTATATTGTGTATAGTAAAGTCCTGGTAAAGGTATATTGTGTAGAAAAAAGTCCTGGTAAAGGTATATTGTGTATAGTAAAGTCCTGGTAAAGGTATATTGTGTAGAGAAAAGTCCTGGTAAAGGTATATTGTGTGGAGTATAGTCCTGGTAAAGGTATATTGTGTATAGTATAGTCCTGGTAAAGGTATATTGTGTAGAGTATAGTCCTGGTAAAGGTATATTGGGTAGAGTAAAGTCTTGGTAAAGGTATATTGGGTAGAGTAAAGTCCTGGTAAAGGTATATTGTGTATAGTAAAGTCCTGGTAAAGGTATATTGTGTATAGTATAGTCCCGGTAAAGGTATATTGTGTATAGTAAAGTCCCGGTAAAGGTATATTGTGTATAGTAAAGTCTTGGTAAAGGTATATTGTGTATAGTAAAGTCCCGGTAAAGGTATATTGTGTATAGTAAAGTCTTGGTAAAGGTATATTGTAAGAGAAAAGTCCTAGTTAAGGTATATTGTGTATAGTAAAGTCCTAATAAAGGTATATTGTGTATAGTAAAGTCCCGGTAAAGGTATATTGTATATAGTAAAGTCCTGGTAAAGGTATATTGTGTAGAGAAAAGTCCTGGACATGAACCGGCTTAAAGCTTGTTATATCCCGGCCTCTTAGTCTCGCAGATACCGAACACACTTCAGTGTCCTCGGAGCCCCCACATAATTCACATTGTGTTAGCGTCCAGTACTTTACAGGAACCGGGCTAAAATAAACCAAACTTATATTTGTTTTAACAAACTCACTTGAAGGTTCTTCCATTGTCAACTTTTTTTTGACATTTTAAAGTAAATAATTGATTACAACCTTTCTTGAAAAAGTTCATTTTCAGCCAGTTAACCTTTTCATATTGTTCCAAGTGCGGAATCTCATCTCTTAATTCAAAGTGCGGAATCTCATCTCTTAATTCAAAGTGCGGAATCTCATCTCTTAATTCAAAGTGCGGAATCTCATCTCTTAATCCAAAGTGCGGAATCTCATTTCTGAAATTACGATCTTTTTTAATTGTTAAGAATTCAAATACCAAAAAAATTATTTTTTTAGGAAATTTCAAAACATCAGATTGGAATCTTGGAACATTTTGACTAATTTTTATCCCCTTTTTGAAAAATTTAATCTTTGAGATTCTTAAAATAAATTCATCATATATTATATTTAAAGAGAGCCCTTTTTGAAATTTTTTGTAAAATTCTCTAATATAGATACAATTAGGTTTGAACCTTGAATATTAAAACAAACTAGGTGAAAATTGCGAATTTCTATTCGTTTAACAAGTTTCAAAATTGTACATTCTAAATTCTTTCCTCAACAATTAAAAATTTAAAAAAAATTTTGAATGACAAGTTTGGAAAAAAGGCCCAAAATAAGGAACTAATTATTCGTCACATATCTCTATCTGTCCAACTCTTATATCTTTGCAACCTGCTGTTAAATACTTTTGATATTTTAAACTGTGCCGTTTTGTTAGATTAAACTAATTAAAGTTTGAAATATTAAAAGTTTAAGCAAATAGGTTGAAAATATATCGGGATTAGTAAATTCTAGTTTGTAGCTGGTGTTCACTTCTTTTTCAGTGTAATTCAATGAAGCAACAGTTACAGACAAACAAATCTGCGAACCCGTATTTGATAGATGATTAGTGAATTTATGCAAAACAGATAAACACATCAATGTTGTGTCAACGGAAAAAAAACTTCCGCTTTTTTCATTGTCTGTGCAAATGAAATAGCTCTTTTCATTGTGATCTTAACTCATTCCATCCTCCTCCGAAACTTAAGACTTTGTAACCCTTCTATGTAAAAAAATCGAATTTTCAGAACTTCGTTTTCTAACAATAGTGAATTTCTATAAAAATGTTGATTCAGTTCCTCGTTCTATTCTTGGGTAAGTTCTTTATAAAGTATATGCACAGCAAAAGACAACTAAAAAAAGTAATATAAAATAGGAAAAAGTAAAAACAAATATTTCCTGAAAACTTTTGCTGCATTATAAAAAAATTAGAAAAGTAGAAATGCAAGTGAAAGGTAAAATATACAAAGCCACAAAATTCAAAGTAAGAATTTTAATGCTTCCTATAATGAAATACTGCACGCGCATCAGTACTTTATATAACAAGTATATTACTTAGAGTTACTCGTTATACCTTCAACACTAATTAATTGTTCTCCATTGTGTAATATTTCTCCATTAAACAATATCTCGGTAGAAAAATAATATTTCTTTATTATAAAATACAATTTTTCATCATTGTCCAATATTTCTTGATCAAGAATATTCAAGTAACAGAGACTTTATAAACGTAATCTAAAGTCACCCTGAATATCTAGAGAGGAATGTCCGATTCTAAAAGGTACCTTATCAAGTAAATGACTTATCAAGTATATGACTTATCAAGTATATGACTTATCAAGTATATGACTTATCAAGTATATGACTTATCAAGTAAATGACTTATATAATCATATGTTTGTTTTTGATTGTTTTCATACGTGGTTTCTCTAATAGAAAAGAGATTTGCGTATTTCTCTCATTAGAATAAAGACCACTCTGAAAGATAGTCAACACATTTTTAGATAGCGTCTAGCTACTATAAAGTTTGGCAACGCCCTGGACTTCGGGGTTACCTCGCACTAACTTTCTTGTAACTTTAAGCATCAGCATTATAAAAATGTAAAGCGGTTGTTTCTAGCTTAAAGAGACAGACCGGCTATGTACGGTAGTTAAACTGAGTGTAAACAAAATTCTACAGTTAACTAATTAGTTGTTTTATAGGATCAGGTTGAGGAAAGAAAAATAAAGTCATATCTTCGAAAATAAGTAAAATCTTATTAAAATATTTGTTTCTATAATCTCTCTTTAATCACAAAGATTTTTTGCAGATTTTCTGATATCTTTAATAAAAAGACGACATTTGAAGAATTTGAAGAAATCTGCGAAAAAATTCATAGAAAATAAGAAATTCAATATAATGATGAAAAAGGAAATAACTAATTCTAACTTCGATTTACTGACAAAGGAATTTACTCTTTGCCACAAACTCTGATTTTCTATTCCCAATATCTTTGGAACCCAATGTCGTAAACCTTTGATATTTCAATCTTATATTTTTTGATCTCACAAGAGTCATAGTTTGAAATTTCAAAGGTTTGTCGTAATCCAAAGATATAGGGATTATAAAATCAGAGTTTGCTGAAAAGACTAAATTCCTTTCTTTTAAGAAATATGTTCCTAAACATCTTATGTGGTTTACTATAGAATTTTCACTAAATTTTTTGTCGTCGTTATTTAATAATAAAAAAAACCGATTCTGATAACGTTCCTACCCAAAATCATGATTTTGAATGTCAACTTTGCGCTCAAACTCAGTATTTATGCATCGTGGAAACGTTTCATATTTCTCAAATGAATCCTAAAGAATTTGTCCACAACACTGCACACTCAGTTTAACTACCTTACATAGCCGGTCTATCCCTTTAAGTTTATAAAAGTAAAAGGCAAAATACTGCTCGATTCTTGCGTTATGGCGTTTATATCTTGGTTCGCAGTGTTCTAAGTATACCGTTGTGAATCAGAAATGCCCCTTTTTGAAATGGAGGGCCACTTTAAATTATGCTCATTTTATCCATTTCTGATATTGTTTTTAGTTTTTATTTCAATTAATTAGTATAAAAACATGTCAAGAGAATGTATCTTAAATACGTTTAGCCTTGACAATAAAAGAATAAAAAACACAAAAAAGTTTTTTATATAAAAATTCTAAATGCACAGAGATCTAGATGCTCTGAAAATTATGCATCAAATTTCGTAGCCACTTGGCCTTTGATAGCTACTTGGTCTTTGGTAGCCACTTGGCCTTTGATAGCTACTTGGTCTTTGGTAGCCAATTGGCATTTGGTAACCACTTGGCCGTTGGTAGCCACTTGGTCTTTGGTAGCCACTTGGTCTTTGGTAGCCACTTGGCCTTTGGTAGCCACTTGGTCTTTGGTAGCCACTTGGCCTTTGGTAGCCACTTGGTCTTTGGTAGCCACTTGGTCTTTGGTAACCACTTGGCCTTTGGTAGCCACTTGGTCTTTGGTAGCCACTTGGCCTTTGGTAGCCACTTGGCCTTTGGTAGCCACTTGGTCTTAGGTAGCCACTTTGTCTAGACCTGTACATTTCAACTACAAAGCACTTTAGCTTTTCTTTAAAACGTAACTGTTGGCAAAATGCTTTATTTAAATTAATCGCTCGCTAATTTATTTACCCTTAATTTATGATTAAAATACAAAACTGAAAAGTGAAAAATCACAAGTTTACCTCCCTTTCTTCAAATTATGACATGTTATGCATGCAAAATATGCAATAAGGAATTTCTAAAAAGGGGGAAAATATCTGTGAAAAGAATATTTAGACATATTTTAAACATTCCCGTGAATATAAAATCTAGATTTTAGAAATGAAAAGTGATTTTTCAATTAGAAAATTCTTTGCATATTTGTAGATTTTATTTCTTTAAAAATGTACAAAACTTATTTCGGATTTTATCAGATTGTTTAGCAAATGCTCTTAACAAGAATAAACCTGGATGAATATTGAATTTAGATGAGAACTTAAGCTCTATGTTTATCTGATAATTATAAAAAGTTACATTTAGTTGGGTTGGATAAGATCAACCTTTTGTTTTTGAAAGGAACTGAGCCTGGGAACTCAGCGCTGACCAGGTTACATAAAGTTACTGAGCCGTTTTACCGGGAAACTGGGAAACTAAATTGTCGCTAATAAAGTCGACCCACTCAACTAAGTATCTTAAAATCAATCTAATAGCATTCCTGTGTTTCTCCCGAGTTTTCCAATCAAAAGTTGAGGCAAATCAGTTTAAGGGTTCATGAGTTATAAGTCGAACAAAGAAACAAAGAAACATCAAAACAGAGATTACAACTTTATTTATATAGATATAAGCTTTGATATTTCCTATGTATACTCATCTGCTCACAGTTTAAAATGACATTCGTTGTGAAACTTTTGAGTGGAATATCCTTAATCTTGAACACTTAATCTCGATATCCAAAGTGGGTACTTTTAGTATAAGGATACAGGGTTACCCACAAAGGATGATACTTCAGAGACGATTGTACGGATTTGATAAGTTCGTTTTCTTGCTTTCAAGGTTCTTTGTAGGGCAAAACTGGTTTATTTCTGTGCTTTGTCATTTGGTAAACCATCATCATACTCACATGAATGCGCGCAGAAACAAACTTTCAATCGTCATATTTGTTGAGTTTTGGGTCGTCTTTACAGCCTTATCCTTTGTGGACAACCCTGTATATCATTGATTAATCCATAGATCTGGAGTTAAATGCTTGATACAGAGATTCAAAACACAAAATTTATAAATTTTTAACACAAAAAAGATTATAAAGATATAATAATAAAACTAAAAGCTCTTCTGACGATTGGTCATTGATTAGAATCCGAATTTAATGAATTTGAGCCGCGTCTTAAATCCGCCAAAACCCGGTTTCAATTGAACGCCGGCTTAAATCTTGAAACAAATTAAATACAATTTAAAGTGGAACCAACTATATTTGTAACGCGTCTCAAATTTAAGCCGCGGCTAAAATTCTTTAAATTCGGCCTCAGTAATTTTTTATATTAGAGACTACACTATGCCAACGCTCAAGGCCCCTAGATATCTTGTTGCTAGCTTTTATAATTTTCTAGTTTTGAAAATGCAAGTTTCGACAAAAAGTGCAAACGAAAGTTAAAGATAATCAACGCCGGGCACTCGAACGTGTCGAAATTAAGAATTTGTTTAATTGGACTTGAAGTTTTGAACTTTGGCATCTTTTTGCTTCTCCCTTACTCTAATCAAATCTGCAAATAAGTATGTGAAGATATAACATTAGTATATACTTTAATATATATATTTGCAGAGAATTTAATCAATTTCTTGCACGAATTAGCAACAGAATTGAACGTGTGCTCACAACTCAATTTTCACTCATTAAAATTTAATTCTTGAAACATGGCAAACGAATTTGTGTTAAATATTTACCTTGCGAATAAAAAGTGAATATCTTAAAGAGATAGATCCCAAAGATCAAAATTTACTTTCTAAAACTCGCATTTACGACGACCAAAACTTTCATTAGTGGTGGTTAACAATTTATGTGGTTCAATAAAAAGTGAGAATATTTCTATTTTTGTAAGCAGTCCCTTAAATGATAAACTTCTATATTAAATTATCAATTATTGAAGTTTAAAGAAGTTTGGCCCATGAAAGATCATGAAACTAAACAAAATTACAAAATTGCAAACTTAGGAAATATTGATTAAAATTCCTAAAACTTGGATTAAATCAGTGGCGGGTGGGGGGAATTCAGTGTACCTCTTCAGTTTTCAGGGACCATTTATTCTGGGATTCCCTTAAGCTTAAAAAAATGGTTCGCACATTAAATCCAATATGAAATAAACTTGAAAATATAGCATAAAGTGGCAATCTGCCATCAAGGTCCTTCGGAGGAACGAATTCGTAAGATGAGCAAAAACTGGCCGAAATTTCCAAACAGGATAAAATAACAAGTTTTAAGCTCCGCATTATTTAATTCTTTTTAATTCAAATCAAGTTAGGTTTATGTAGTTAGTGACTTTGTTAGGTAAAACTAAGCAAGACTAACAATTTGATGAATAACTTTCATTAATGTTTAGATTTCAGTTCTATAGGATTTAACTTTTTACATCCCCAGCTAAGTGTTAAGTACATGAATATCACTAAAGAAGCATCCATATTTGTTGATCTATACCTACAAACTGGTCCAAAATTACCATTTAACACTTTCNGTTGGGGGGTCCCCCCCTTTTTTGGTTTTTCCAAAAATAACTTTGAAAAGGCTAATATTAGAACG